GGTAATCTCAATTTTCAACCAAGCAATAAAAGGATACCCAAAAATTAAAGCCATAAAAAGACCTGGAAGAAACCATGATTTTGAAAATAATTCGTTGTACGGAAGACTCAATATTATTCACAGTATATTATAGTATTGTATATATAGAGAACCCATTTTACATATGAGATAATCATACATGACCACAAACAAATTCGTTGTACAGTACAGAGAAAATTGTTGCGGGCAGAGTATTCTTATGAGACTACGAAAAAAATGAGGCCTTACCTGTATACGTGTGTATATCTAAAAGTATGTGCACCAACTACTGTATAATCATCATGCACTCCCTCATTACCTGAATACCTGTAGGTCCCACAGCCCCACTTTTCCGCTGGGGGCCTTCTATTGCGGGTCCCTTTTCTACTCATCCGTCGGGCACCTATCCAGGACCTCTTCCCCGGGGTCCCCTTTTTCTCCGGGAGCGGTCCAGGATCTGTATTACAACGAAGTTATCACTAGATGTCACCCACTGCAGCGGCAGCCCTATTGCGGGAAAGAAGTATCTTATGAGAATCATTCAGATCAACACTTCTACGATATGTACTGTATTTGATCATCTTATTTTTAAACTTGATGAGGATCGTGGACATGTTTAAAAATTGTAAACCAATTGTCGTTAGAATACGGAAACTCCAAAGCTATTCCTATTCCTAGCGTGTACGTGGCGAACTTTCCGATCAACGCGGACTTTCCAAGACAAATCCTATTAATATATCATATCTTTTCGATCCATGAAATATTGGTTATATGTATACCGTATATAATTCCATGCTCAACATCGATTGAATTATTACCATATGCCTCATCGATCCTCCGCGTTTTATCACGAACCTAAAATCAGGCAAAAAAGCATATCCTATTGCGGAATCGTGAAACAAAAATACTCCCCGAAAGTATGCCTGTTATCGTGCCTCAAAATATGTCCCGCTGGTCCATCGTCGTAAATCTCAACAAAATGGATTCCAGGGCCATAAAATGTCCGACGCTGCAACTATACAGCAGTACGTGAAAACGGTTTTCCATCATCGCGGAATCTCCATCATATTTCTTCCTCATCCTCAGGGGCAAGAAGACTTGTTACATTCCAACTTTCCCTCTCATCTTACGTTGGATCGCGCCAATCACAGCGGGAACTTCAATATAGAGCTCGATCGTCTCATTGAAAGTGGATGCGGGTTTTCGTCATCCTGAGGTTTTTCCCTTCAGGAAAGACCATCATCTGCATGCAGGAACGAGCATCTGAAGACGCAAAGCGGGCGAGGAACAAGATATGAAATGTACACCGACGTGTAATGGAAATGGAAGACGATCACGATGATGCAACCGTAACTGAGAACGAAGAGCGAAAGCTTCAGTTTCGATCCAACTTCAGTCAATCATGCATCACAGACTGAAGTAATTCGTATGCATCAGTTTACAGCAATAGAAATTCAATTCCGATTGACAGAGCCACTACTTTTTCTAGTGAATAGAAACCTCAGTCATTACAATACATCGAACTTTAGTTTCCAATAAATTAAATTGTACACAAAATTGAGATCAAAACAATATGCCTTCATCCCCTTATCGCGTAGTTTCTGAGATACATATACTTCATTAGTCATGAACTCGCGATGAACAATTGGATGCACAACAAATTCTAGGCATTTTGCGCCGAAGAATTGAAGACTTCGCAGGCATGTGCGTACTGTACTTCGACTGTTAATTATCGATACACTTCTATCGTAATGAATTGTCATTATTTTAAATTCATACAAAGAAGGCTGTAATTATCACAGAAAATTTGCGTATTCTTCCTCGTAATCCTCAGTCAAATTCAATGCAAAAAAATACACTTGATTAATCATCGCGCTTTTAAACTGAACCACAATCACATTAGTTCATTGTGGAAAATACTGTAAACACAAGGTTCACCATCAGATCACCGTACATTCCATTCATGTCAACAATTGTTAAAATGCTATTCCGGCTTGGTGTCATAAGATTTACTCGAACAAAATTTTTCGTTTTCTCATTCTCAACAGAATTTCCGGCATACCGTAATGCAAAAAAAATCCTTCAGGAAATCATATCAAACGAAGATAGTCTTGTCGCTTGAGAAAATTCCATAACAACCTTTTCAAACTTTCGACATTTTTAAATGTAGGTTAAATAAAGAGCAGAAGACCATTAATAGTTCGGAACAAACATTGGACATAAAACCTCATTCACTCCATGCGCGCTAAGTTTTTAGCTAAAAAAAATTAATGGACTTTCTAGATAAAAAATAAATAAAATAAGAACATAATTGAACACACCCCCTTAACGTGAGGGCTTTTTAAAGAATAAAAAGACATGTCAAAGAACTCCGCCAAAAAAAGGAATTGAAAAATTTATCCACTTGATTTTATTGTCAATGTTCAGGCTAGTCAACGCTGCTGGGAATGATACGAATATTGTCAAATTTCGAGATTCAAAGGATCTAAGATCGAGGTTATGGAATAAAAAGATGTCCTGTCATAATGAATGTTGTTCCGGATCAATACTTCAGCCAAAGAAGTAGAACCCTTCAAAATGTTGATGATGTTGCATCAATACAGAAAACGAAATGAACACAGATTTTCTATGATTCATGCGAAACTTTATGGGGACCATACAATTCATTCAAAGCTTTCGGCTCACCACTAGAAATAACTGTTCACAATGTAATCTCCTCATTTCGCACCATGTTGTCAAGACGTTCGTAAAAAGCTAATCCCGAACGTCTAAAAAAAAAAGGCTAACAATCCAGCATGTCAAAAAACAAAAAAATCAGACATTCCTGACAAGATGAAGAGAGCTTTTCAAAAAGCCAGAACGCAGCACAATCACAGACGAGCAAAATCTAAAACTTTCATTACAAACAAACCCTTACGTCCCGTTTTCAAATTTCACTCAGGGTCGCACGCAAAATAACGAAAAAAAAAAACAATCCGTAAAACCCCTTACACAAAAAATTTGCGCACAGGACTCACGAAAGCGCGAATTCCCGCATTAAAACAGAACAAAGCGAGTATCCTGAAAGACTTGCGATTTCATGTCAGGCAGAGATTCCAGCCTTTGCCACCTTTAAATGTACGCTGAAAACCGAACGGAAGCCCCAAAAAACGATTGCTATCGGGGAAAAAATGTATCTTCGTAGAGCAAAAGAATTTCTCCAGCTCGGTACCACATCAAAAACACTGGGACTAGATTCTTTTTTTTTTTTTTGCTTGGAAAAGGTGCACATCTTGACTATAGCTCATTTTCCTTCGGCTCTTAAGCATTACGATAAACAAAAACCTTTTTTTTCGCTTGAACATTCGGTTACATTGGACGCGTGCAGTGGAAGCATTTCGACGAGATTCCCTTGACAATGGTAGCTCTTCAGTTGGACTGATCCGAGTCTCTCCTCTGCGCAGCACTCCTTCAAATGAAAAGTGGATCAGCATCGATTAGTCGAACATTACTAAATTAAGAGATTTGTTTTAAAAAGGTTGCCAGTTCAAGGATTCAGAAAAAAAGGCTTAGACCGGTTGATTTCCTGAGGAAAGATATCCTCCATCAATGTACACGCAGCTCCTGCACAACGACATTATCAGAATAATGACACTCATTCATCAACGACGATCATTACATGATCCAAATAATCCACTTCAGTGCTGTTGAATGTCCTTCTTGCGAACATCAAAGCATCTAATAAATCTCATCAAGAAATACATGTAAAAAAACGCTTAGTCATAAAGTTCATTAGTTACAGTACCAAGACGCTGAGAAAAAAAAATTAAAAATCATTATGGGATAGATGAAAAGATTTAAAGCAAGCGTTTTCTGCATTCCCAAAGATTAACCGCAATTTCAGTACAGATTCGTTAAACGTCTTGCTTAAAGGATTACATTTCGGTGGAAACTCTGCACGGAAATTACAGCAGAACATTCTCCCCTAAATCCATGAAACGAGGCAGTCAAATCTCGGTCATCACTTCCGTATTTATTCATAAAATATACTGTAATCGTAAGATTATATGTCAGAACGCAAATTTTTTGAACATCTGTGTGTGCTCGGTAAACTGTCGTCCAACAGACGATGGGGGTGCACTTGCAACAACAAATATCAATGAAGAGTTCCACATGACCCCGTTCAACTAATGCACAGGTATTCTATTTTTAAATGGGTATCAGAAACAAATTATTGTACGTATTGTGAAGATTAGAATCATTGGTCTAAGCTAACTTCTTAAATCAACACACAGAACCCAAGGAGGAATTCTTGCGTCACTTACTGCGTCTATTCTGCACATCGATAACAAAATTACAAAAAAGTGACCAAAAAATCTGAAAAAGTGAACATCCCGAATATGAAGTCAAATTTTCCTGCAACACTTGAACTGTTAAATACAGTACGTACCGTTACACCGCGATGAATCGAACCTCATAAAGTCGAAAAACTCCTTGTGTCAATTTTTTCAAGTCCCCGTCTGAATTTTCTTAGAAACGATACATTGAAAACCTGGCTAAGTCAAAGGCTTTCCTCTCCAAAACTCGAATTTTCTGGAGGCCTTTTGGCTATTTCTTTACCAACGCAGGAAAGAGAAACGCAATAAGATTGAACCTTGACGCGTTTTCAAAGTAAATGACAGACTAATAATTAGGCAAATGAACGCTTTCCTCCAAGCTCAGCATCCTGTCAACTAATTTAAAAACAATACAATTCACAAAATATCACCGATTACAATTTCATGCAATTCTTTCTTTTTACTGAGAAAAATAAAACCTGATTTCCTCAACTCGAATTTCTTTGCTGGTCCCTTGAAGTTGGACTTAGAGAGATTCTAATATAATTCTTGGGCAGAACTAGGGCAAAAACCCTTTCCTCATCTCCAGATGACAGGGAGTGTGAGACTGGCAAACCCTTCAAAACACTACGGTACAGAATCAACTTTTTTTAATTTGCATTTTCCTTACGGTGCTGGTTGAGAGTCTGACAAGAGACGCAAAGCTTCGTCGTACGACGGCAATTCGGAATCAGGGCTGAAGACAGAAGTGCGGGCGGCTTTCACGGCATCGGAGGAAGGCATTGTGATGGCAACGTCGTATGAAGGCGGAAGCGTAACGACACTTGCATTTCGATGCACACAGCTTTCCATTTCGTGAAAATCCTGTCAATTAAGACGATCAAGGGTGAATGAAAAATGTCTTCAAAACTTCGCCTACAATGATCAGTTCGTATTTTCGGGGTCGAATCCCACAAATCATTCTAGTTTGACATTGAAAGATGCCGAGTCCGCTTCGCTCGAATGAGTCATTAAATTTTAAAATTGAATACAAAGTTCATAAGTCAGTCAGACTACCAGTTCGGCTCTAATAAAAAAAGAATCCCATACGATCAGGTTGGTCTACGCTTTCGTTGATTTTCGATTCGTAAGGAGCCTGATTTTTTCACGAACAACGAAACTTCTGAGTTTCACTCAGCAGACTATCCGAACACCAACAGAACCGTTTCCGTTCCCGTGAAAAGCTACTCCTTTTATACTCATCGAAGGTTCTCTTCTTTTCATTTTTAAGAAGTCATCCAATTTCGTTCGCACTAGAAAAATTCACTCATTACTCCTTCAGTGTCTCTAGTCTGTCTGAAAAACCAAGACTCAGGATTGCCGTGTCTAAGGCTCGAAGTTGGAGTGTTCCTCTCATTTCTTGGGTATTATCTTGCCCCCTGCTCTTGAATTGGAGGCGGAATGTCAAATTTTGATCTTCGTCAAAATTCGGTCACATTGTAAAATTTTTCAGCGTATGTAAATACTGTAACCTATTTGTTGACTGTGCTTGATCTTTCAAAAATAAATGCCTTTCAATCAAAATGCCTTGGGTTCTAAAGTCTGTATTTCAAGTTTGACAAGTACGGTATTAACCATTTGGATAGAGATTTATTTCTTCATAGCCAGGATGCTACAAAATAAAGCTACTCTTCTTTAAGATTAATTGGCATAAACGAGTATTCCCCAGAACAGTTCAAAGCAATGACCCGACCAACAATAAATGAGTAACCCATAAGTTGTTTATACACCTTTTATCAATTTAGATGCGCACAGAGAGCCAAATTAAACCCGGGTGGTTAAAAAAAAGGTGACAACTGGCAAACATAACAAGAACTGTCTCGTCATGCATAATCAGGCAACAGAAGTTGCCATGAGGAAGTACAAAACCATGACACACATAGATACAATTTACTTTTACATGACATTATAACGGGGTTATCTCTGCAGTTTTGACAACATTCAGCTAATTTTTCATTGCGCGAAAGCTTGGATGTGCAAAAAGGCAAAGCCAGCGAACCCCTCGGAAGTAATTGCTGCAACTTTTTTGCACACGAGTCCCAATTACTGGGAAAATGGAGGCAAAACTCCTCACTAAACACTTGAGTTCAGTGTCTCATATGCATTTTTTCATGCCTCCAGTTGGACAAATTTTCTTCTAAATGCATCAGGAAGAGAGGTTTTGCTGTAAGCCCCATTTGACCCGATCACCTGAAGTTCCTAAACTTGTATAAAGCGGGCCTGAGGTAGTTTTACAAAAGGTTCAGAACGATGGGACGACTTGCCTGTCCACCACCCTACCTGTCAAAGAACTCATGCCACACATAAAAACCACGTGATCACAGTATCCAATTTATTCTAATCTAAATCCTTGAATTGATTTCTCTTGATGTGGACAAAGACCTCGATCAATGCGACGGGAAATTTAAAAAATATTTCGGAACTTGTCTAACGGATATATTGTAATGCTGGAAAAGGTCACGATATTTCTCGAGGAGCGGGGGTGTTGATCTCACTTTTTTTTTTCCAGCACAACCACATCCACATCTGGTCTTTTTTTGCACACCGACTCCCAGAGGCGAAATTACTTCCTCCATCACTTACAATTCAATTTTTAAATTTTTTTCTGACAACCACACCTCCCCTTACAACCACAATTTCAGAACAATTTTTTTCCCTTGTTCACGGAAAAAACACAAAACCCCTTTCCACTGGGGGTTGTTTACCCCCAACCCTTTTAGCAAGACCAGGTTTTGGTGCTCTCCTTGCCGTATCTTGGGTTGAAGAGGGGGAAGAGATCTTCAAAGATTTACAAAAATGGAGAAAAGAAGGAAAATCTGTTTCCTTCTTCAAACCAAAATCAAGCCAGGAAGCCCAGCACCAACATCCCCTCCATGTAGCCAAGGTATATGACCCCAGAGCGAAAGGGGTTCCTTTTTTCTTCATTTCCTTGTGTTCTGCTCCGCCATCTGAAGTTTCCATCAGCCATTTGATTTTTTTTTTCAGGACTCCCGCAATTACATCAGCTTTTGGCTCTTTACTGTAAATACTCCATATCCATTGCAAGATAGAAGAATCCTATTCCCCCTCTGAAACCCTCACAAGAGCCACCTTTTTTTTCAATTTACTCGGTTATTTCCCATCTTGCCCTGGAGAAAATTCATTAAATCCACAGCACATTCATAGCATACTGGGATTTGTCAACCGATTCTAAAATTCTTCAGTTAACCTTGGACAAGCATAAAAAGAAAATAAATTGAAATTCAATGCTCTGGATATCTCTGCGACAGTTTCATTTCTTTGTTTTTTTAATAATCTCAAGACAATATCTTGCGTATGCAGAATCCTTCAGCTTAATTTACATGTTTCATTTGCGTTTGTGATTATGCCTCTTTACGGTAGATCATTCCTGCAAGAAGTTGTCAAGAAAATCTGTTCCACACCCTAGTTGTGGGATAAATCTGCTTAAAACTCACAAAAAATGGCTGTGGTGGTGATCTCAGTAAGTTGTGTCACAATTATTACCCCTGTCCAGGAGTAAGATCTACCGATCATTGAATAAATGAACGCAATATTTCGAGCCCCACCAATGAAATACAGTACTGTATGCCATACACACGTTTTACCGCAGCCCATTCCTTCAATTTTTAATCGATCTGTACACTCTGAATTGCAGCACATTGTCCCCAGCCATTTACCTTACATCGTCCCAGAAGCTCAAGGTTCTACAAATTAGACTTCTCAACCGACAAAAAATGCAGTACACATTCTACTTTTAATTCATGAGTTGTGGTCAATTGAATACTTGAAAATGGAACTATTTTTCAGTAAAATAATAATACTGTTTTGCGTTTGAGAGAGAGGGTCTTTTTTCGGGGAACACGGTCACGATCTGCTCCACTTCGGTAAAAGTACCCATTTTCCGGGGTCTATAAAGGGGAAGCCACCAAAGTACAGTACAGTATTTTGCAAACCACAAACTCACCCTTTCGGCAGCTCGTTGTTCTTGGGCAAGCAACAAGTCGAACAAGAGCTTAGCCCTTCGCATGTAAAGCAGGTTTTTGATGCCCAACAGAAGCCCGGTGCACATGAAGATCGGTCCAACGAGCCACCCGTCGTCCAAATTCGAAGGCCTCGTTTCGCTGCCTCCATTCAGGTACATGAACAGGAACATAACAGCACCCACGGCAAACAGGGCCCCGGAGAGGGCACAGTACGCATACGACGTGCTATCGCAACGACCGAACGACTGCGGACGTGGCACAGGGATCGAAGACGCAGAGCATCGCGCGAAAAGGCACCGACGTGCGGGGGCATTTTCGCGATTGGGGGTATTCTGGGCTGCGTTTCTCGCCATTTGAGTGATCATTAGCGGCGTCATCACCAAACAGAGTCACCAAACACATGAATTCGTCTGCAACGACGGTACACGTGGTAAATTTCATCAACATTCCGAGTACGCATCCATCTCAAAAACACTAAGGATTCTCTGAACACTGAAAATCCATCCTCAAAATTTCACTTGGGAAATCCTCCGTCTAGATGAAAAATTAAAATAAGACGGAAAATTCATATTTTAAAGTCCATACGCACTTCCTTATTGAAACTGCCTCCACCTTCGATGTTCGTTATACAATATCTGTCACGGCAGATATGAGATCTAAAACATTATTCATGTAGTCAAACAGCTTCTAAAACATTACTCATGTAGTCAAACAGCTAACAAAAAAACTCGATGGCAAAATAACTTAATGTGATAACAGAACCGATCAACTTACCTAGCATCGAAGCCATAACCAACAAAACTATCGCTATAAAAAAATTACTTCACTGCATCTCTGTACGTCGGAAGTGTTCACGAATGGACAATAACATTCGAAAGCCTTAGAGGAAAGCAGCTTCAAAAAGGAAAAAAATGTATATAGCATGGAAAATTATGTAAACTCAGATACACTTCAAGGGCTTTGCTTTTGATTCACTCGAAGTGCAGTAGAGGATCTTATCCAGCTTCATTTTCGAACTTCATCGAAATAAGATACCGTATTTATATAAGTACCAAGAGCACTTTTTCCCAAAGACTGCAAGAAAAGACTTGGGGCAATATTTTTGACAAAATTTTTAGGAAGATTAATGCGCGTTACACAAATGATTAAAAAGCTGGCGAAAAATCCACCACGAAATGAACAGTCCATCAAGACATCACGGTTTGATTTGAAAAAAGTACAGATTTTCCATATAAGTGACATCATATATCAGTTGAATTGTATATCAATTCAACTGATTTTGTTGCTTCCTTTTATTAATCTCACTAAAAATTGAATAATAGCAGGGAGGATTGTGCTTTTTGAATTTCTTAAAAAGTGGGAAGGGGAGGGGGGTTTACTGCGCGGATTATTTTTTCTCTCGTAAAAATGGTGTCCCAAAAACCTTACCGCTCGTCTTGGAAAAGGCCGCGTGGTACTCAGGTAAATACGGTAGTATCCTTCATGAATATGACATCAGATTTACTTACGAAGGTTTGGATTTATTCGAACAATGAGAAGAAATTATCACATCACGTTTCATCCGAACTGTCTGATCCATAATCGTCGGCTATCAGGGATAAACCAGACGTCTCTTCCCCATTTGTCGTCACGCTCGTACACGAAGAAGAAGAGGAAGCCAGCGTTTCTGCACTTCCGATGTCTTTTATTGGACAAGAAGGCGACGAAGTGGATGGAATTCCTATACACTCCACACGAGGTTTGAGAATAATCCCAGCGGAATTCCTGAGTACGAAACAAACGAATGAAACAGAACCTGGAGTCAAAATGATTCACCTTCGCCTTCATGTTGAAGACGATCAAAGCACAACGAACCTTTTAGAAGCCACTGACAGGGATGTTTTTGGGACTGCTCCGGACACCGACTTTGATCCCGCCAAAATCGTTTGCTTCAGCACTTTCCGGGCAACATTAGCTTCGACGGACTTTTGCTTGTTCTTGGCAAACACCGACTGTCGCCTTAAAGCCTCCAACTTCCCACGCTCAACTTCTTCATACGCTACGACAGGAAATAAGACTACAATAATTTCAAGAAGTCTCTTTCCGTATTTCAACGACTGAATTTCAGTGATTTCCTTTACCAATCTGAAGGTGACGCTTGAAATTTTTAATTACATCTAATGCTCTGTGGGGCTAGAAAGTGTTCAACCTTTTTCGGCCGGCGGACTGGTAAAATTCCATCAAATTTATGTGACCCGGTAAATATCCAGAAAAGTTGTTTGCTGACAGGTGAAGTTCCATAAAAAATTTTGAAGACCAGCAGAACATTTTCAAATAATGTACCTTCCATAAAATCTTGTGGACAAAACTTTTAATGCAAAGATGAAGTCAAGAACCAATGAAGCAGCTATAGTGGAATGTCTTTAAAAAATAAAAAAGCTGGACTTCAAGACAGGTTCCCCAAAATGAAAACTTGAAAGAATTCAGTTGAGCGGGTGAAAATTTGTCTGAAGTGCTACTAGGAGAAAAGCAAAATTTATTTTTCATTGGATAATTTCAGCAGTCATTGTCTTCCGAAATTTCAGATAGGAAAAAAAAGACTTCATTACTGCCTTTGATACATTTGTTCTGCTGAAAAAAATTTCCTGCGGACCAGCAAAAAAACTTCTACGGACCAGGGGTTGCAGAACACCGATGATCACAGCACAGTACAGTACATTAGTTTGGCGACGAAGGCAGGGCAAGCAACTTTAGTGATGGCTAAGTGAATGGTGAATGACTCATTGGGTTAGTGATTCAGTCTCATATTCCTAGGGTCCAGGTCGGGAGTTGATTAAAGCAAAACCAGAAAAAAAAATCACGCAGTTCATCAGTCAGCACTCACATAATTGACTAGAGTTCGCAAGCCGATGAGCAAGTTTCTTATCTTCGACAGTTTCTGGGAGCAGCTTCAACTCTAACGAGGCTCGCTTCAAGACCTCATTATCAGCAGCTTCGCCGCGTGCCAATTCTTTTTTGCTCTCCTAAACGACAAATTACGAATTATAAGAATGGATTCCGTAGAATTAAAAACAAACCTTCCAACTTACCCTGAACTTATCACGCATCAACCTATTAGCCGCATAGTCATCCTTCCAGCGTTGGTACTGGAATCCTTCAAGGTTACCAAGGGTTTCTTTTGCCTCTTTACTCTTCCGTTTGTCCTTCTCGACGTGTTCAAGCTTGAACATGGGATCCGTAGCTAGTTTCTTGATGGTATCCCGATCTTCGGGTACAACCTGGCCATTTTGCTTAGGGTCAAACCGTCTTTCTTGCCTGCGCGCCCCACTGACGATTTCATAATCCAAGTTCTAAGAAAGAAAACATGGTTGGTAAAGCAGCTGTGAGTTTTCTCCTTATTTTCCACTTACGGCTGGGTCTGTCTTAATCTCGAAATAATTGTCACACAAGTGACACTTCATTCTGAACTGCCAGATTGTCGTGGAATAGTAGTTCCCCACCTTCTTCTTCTCCGCATTATACCTATAGCATCCAATAAATGAGAACATTAAAAATGAAGCATGAAATATTACGATGGAAATTCCCCGGATTTCCCGGGGAAGTCAAAAAATTCATGGAATAAGTTCAATCATACAGTAATTTAAAAGGTTCTTGTAGTTGTTTTACACCTTGAATCATTCACAAAAATTTAATTTTGATACATTCCCAATTCTCCAAGTCCAACTCCAAAGGAATGAGACAAGAAAATTCGAGTTAAGATATCAAGCATTTGTGTTCGACAGTTGGGGGAAAGAAGAGTTACACAAGATTGTAATTGGTTATATTCTAGGCCTTTAATTGCTTTTTAAATTAGTCACCAGGATCCTGAACTTGGAGGCAAGGGTTCTTTTGCCCAATTAGTCTTTAACTTCCTTCAAAATAAAATCAATATACAGTATTTGTAATGCTTTTCTCTTTCCTGTGTCAATAAAATAATATCCGAAAGTCCTCCAGAAAATCAAAGTTGTTAAGATTTGAAGAAGATAGTCTTCGCGAAGCAATTAATCACTTCTAAATGAAATCAGTCCGGAAATGGAAAGAAAAAAATAAGCTTAAGAAGGTATTCGACTTAAGGAGGCTCGAGTTATCGAGGTTCAGTTGTATTATTTAATACTGTATAATAATCAAATATGAACGTGCATTCTTAAATGATGGACCATCTGAATGTTGAACAATGATCAGGGAATTCAGGGCTGTTCACTCGGCAGAACTTGAAGACATGAAAAATCAAGAGTTTTGAGCAGAATTTAGCATTCCAGCATATTTCATTCAACTTCTTAAATTTTACTGAAATGGGTTTAATTTTCAATCAACAGAGAACTGGACGATGCAAAATGGGCTTCTTTTCGAAACGCGTAAACACTTTTGGGAACTACGGTAAGAATGCGATTCAAGGTTCTTAATAAAAGCTCGGCCTAATCAATCATAATTCGCATCATTCTCGCAAGAATGTGACCGGTTCAACGATTAGGGCAAACAGTACAAACCTGACACCCATTCCGATATGGTTACCACACCCTCCACACCATATGTTGTAGGGCATTTCGAAACGAATGACGATGATTCCTTGACCAATTTTCTTCGCTCGTTCTCGCAATGGATGAGTGCCATAATACTTGTCCAGGCCACCCATGTCCGGATGCCAATCCGGTGGATACCATTTGTTTGTTCCTTTGCGTTCACCCTGTTAAGAACACATAACGCGTAAATTTATCCATCTGACCGATCAATTCTTCAGATCAGACTTAAAGTATAGTACATGCAACTTACAGGGAAAAGATTCAAGTGGAAAAATCAATAGACAAGGAAAATATGAATGGTATGCTCGGATTTATAGATTACACGACCAGTCTTGAATACAAAAAATAAAATAAAAAATTGAAGGAAATGTGAGCCACTCTTAATGGACTGACATCAAGATATATTGATCAAACTATTCCACGTTCTTCCTCAGCACGATACTGCTTTGACGAACGAAGTTTCGCTGGCAACGAATTCATATCGAATATTTCAGAATACAGTATACAATGAAGATGTTCGACTCACCATCCTGAAGACGAAATCTCACTTCAACTAGTCACTTATAATTATGATCTTGACCTGCAACATGGAATCGCGGAAAAAATGAACAATAAGAAAATTCCAACTAAAAAAAAGATCAAAAATTACGCATCACCCGGCTTACTTTGGAACGAAATTCCGAACAAGAATGAACGACAGTAATTTTCACTGCAAGAACACGAAAACGTATTCATAATCAAAATATCACACACTATGCAAGACACATGGGGCTGCTTCGCTTCTATACTGTATACAACCAGCAAATCCGATCAAGTATTTTGGTTTCAAGATGCAGTACGGTCTCCTTTGGACTTCTGTGACTGAATTATGATCCCGTAATGAGTCTAGTTACGCATCACCTGAACATTTTTCACGTACAAAAAAATAATCTCATCCGAATTTCGGGGACATCCGTGCGTTCTTCGGAAATTCAAAGAATGCTTCACTCAGCAATACACGACCTGGTCCCGACAGTTGAAGTGTGGCGCTGAAGCCGCTGCAGATTTACGTCAAGCAACACCAGAAGCCTTCGATCTCATGAATACAAACATGCCACACAAAAATTTGAGAAGTATGGTACCTTCATTGTACGTGATCAACTGCCGAAGTGTGACTGACCTTAAAGTTATGTTCGACAGTGCGTACATTATTTTACACATGACTGGATTCAGAAACCGTGAATGGCCAAACCTTGTAGCAAAATGATCCCAGGTACGAGTCAAAATAAGTCAAAGGTATTTGCTTTATAATTGAGCAAACATTTGACCCAGTTCTGCCACACAATATTGGCTTCTCAACTGTAGACAAGTTTCGTCTCTGATCCATTTGTTGTCGCTTTCGATTCAAAACAAAAACAAAAAACCATGCGCTATCAGTATTCTACCGTAATTTTTGTGTCAGAGGAATAGCACAAGATGGCGTCGTGGATAATTTTACTCAGCTGTACTTCGGCGCAATAATTATATTCACGCGAAATAATAACGACTTTTTCAATTGTAATTCAGAATACTGTATGAGGAAACTCATGAATTATGATTTTCACGTCAGACAGAATGTGAAGATCATCAGGACACATTGGTTTACGCACGCAATTTCATTGGAGAGTGAAGTTTTGAATATCATCGATTAACAAAATACCGCGCCACATGGGCGTTTTCATCACAATTGCTTAGCCAATCTAGATACATCACACACTGGTCGTCCTGCCCGTCAGCCCGTTCCTTCAAGAAAAACGCACTAAAACAACCTCTAACGTATTCCGAAAGTCCATCGACTTCGTTCGCAGGAAATTTTGGATTGGCTTGACGAGCTGTCACGAAATCAAAGGTGTAGTTCGTGATGAAACGCGCAAACGAAACGTCGTATCCTTTCGACCTCAGCAAGGCATCGACTTGCACCCAGCCACTCAAATGTAACTCCTCCGCAGATTTGAATCGCGAAAAAAAGGCAGCCAGAGTATCTCGCAGTTGGGGTGGCTCTTTCTTCCCGTGCTTTTCCAAAAACATCCCAGCTAAAACGACCTTCCACTGGTCGTGCGAATAATGCTCCAGTAGAAAGTCGTACGGAGAATATTGGAAATCTTCACACGCAGAGACGGATTCCACAGATATAGAGACTTCTCCTTCGCAAAGAATCTGCTCAGAACCATCTTCAGTAAAGACGGAGTCTTCTGGGTCACTCAAGCCGATTGTTTCGTCCTGGTCCGGCGAGGGACCGACCGAATGATCGAGTTCAGCTTCAGGAAATATGATATTTTGGCGAGAAAAATCGAAATCGTCAACCGATACGCCGTCATATCCGCCCTTCTTCAAGTAAGCGCACACTTGAGATCTAGACCTCAAAACCCGACCGGTAGGCGACTGAACGTATACGTCGTATCTTCCGATTGTTTTTCCAGATAATCGCTTCCGTAAAATTCGTGTCCACCCCGGCGGCGCGCCTTCTTCTGTACGCAACACTTCGGTAGGTTCATGCTTCCGCATTTTACAAATAATGTCACTTTCCTGAAAGGAAGAAAAAAAATACATTTCACGAAGGTCTGAAGCAAGGGTGCCCAAGATACGGCCCGCGGGCCAGATCTGGCCCGCGGAGGCCTTCAAACTGGCCCTCAGACCATCCCATCAAATTTGCCTTATTAGCTGAGGATATATCTAGCAAAATTTCAAAATTTTCCTGAATAGAAAGTTTTACAATGTATTCGCATTATTTTGTTCAAAGAAACTTCAAAATTTGTTTGCTTAATGCTTGCAGACTGCATAAAAAATACAAGAATAAGTTAGTGATTTTAACTATATTTCTGGAAGCTTTCAAAATTTTCAGTTTGAGTGAGCAATTGAAGTTGCACACTCCCTTCTCCCATGCTTTCAGCTGGCCGATGTATGTAGCTTTCTGAAGACACTGTTTTCATTTTCAGGAACTGGTACAAAAGTGATGCATAATTCATTTAAATGCAGTGATCTCTTAAAGAAAACTAATTGAGATCACAATGCATTGTACTATTGCATATTTGTGATTAACTGAATCAAGTATTACGTTGCTAGTTCATAATTTTTAGGAAGATGTGATTTTTTGTGCTGGGAAATATGGGGTAAGGATAACAAAAATTTGCTTTAAAAAGATAAGTCTGAGTTGAATTGCAGCTTTTCCTATAGAGAAAAAAAGTTGAAAATTGAATTTGTCCTTTGCATAAACATACACAGCATAAATAGAATTTGAGCTCTGTCAGATAAATGGAAGATGCAGAGATTTAAGAGTTAACAGTGATCTTCTGGTTGAAGAAAATAATAATTGGATGAGACAATTTCTCATTCAACAAAGGTTTGAATAAAAAATGGCCAAAAGGAGTGACACACAAAAGATTGACAATCAATGCAGAGTGTTTAATGGAGAATGGTCAAAAAAATATTTCTTCACTATCTTCAATGGTAAAATGCTTTGCTGGGTTTGTCTTGAAAAAATTTCAGTTTCCAAGGAATGCAGTTTTTTTCTGGCATTTCAAGACCAAACACAAAGACTTAAGGATAAATTACTCTGAGAAATTTCCAAGCTTGCTTAAAAGAATGAAAGGGACGTGCTGACTTTCGTTAAATTCAAATGAGTCTAAAATGTGGAAAAATTTTAGAGGAGTCTATTTATTTTCAGCATTGTGGCCCGCAGAGAAGGCTTTTTTTCATGTTGCCCTTGACCACTTTTGAGTTGGGCACCACTGGTCTGAAGCATTCTTTCACCTTATAACACAACGTCATCATACCAGCAACCTTTTCCGACGAAAGTAGCACACTCATCCTAGAAGTTTGGTACCTCGAAAATTCAAATACGTTATATGGTTGACTGGTTAGAGTACGAGGAAGCAGTTATCAAAAGAATAGGCGCACATCGTGGGATTGAACAAATTACGAAACCTAGCCGTTCAGGCATCGTATTTGGATTTTTTTATCAGCTAAACATTGTGTGCATTAGTCGACGGCGTCCGAGATTTGCATGTGAAGTGATGACCTCTGTCAAAATGAACTTCACACGAAATTGACAGCTCGAATGTTAAAAAACCAGGTCTCACTAGAAGTTTGCCCCACATCATGACGGAAACGATGCGGCAAAAGTATGAAAATTGAACTAATTTATAAAAGTATTGAAACGTAATGTACTTTCTCCAAGATATCACACATATGAATCATCCGAAAATAAGCATACCCCTTTCGTCGAATAGAAGAGGAATTGTGAACTAAATTTGAAAGCGAAAGAGCGTCCTTCTTGAGAAAAAATAAAATGGGGGTTCATAGGGCACCCCGATTGCTTCTCAATTTTCGAGCAAATATGGCACAGAAAATTATCGGGCTCTTTCATTTCTGAAGTTGTTGCTTTTACAAGTTTTTTTTTCGTCGATGATTACACACACACGCAACGCAAGCATGGCTAAATCTGCCTCAAGTTTTAGTGAACACATAAGAGGTCTAAATAGGACCTCTATGTGCACACATCTTCCAAATAAAACCTGTTCACTCCACAGTTGAGAGGCTGACCGAGACAGGAACCCAAGCAGAGATGCACTCATGAAGAAGGAAAGATCCGCTATAGAAGTTGCAACAAGCCCAATCTACCAATGCACGAACAATCGCTCCTAATCAAGCATCATAGCTCTGGACGCTCCTACATCAGAAACAGTACACTAAAATCACGGCTCCTCGTTGAAGATAACTGCATCTATATGATTCTCTCATAAAAAAAATAAGGTCACATGAGACTGTAAGAACGCATCCAAGCGAGGCCATCTTTCGTACTGGCGTGCGACGGTATATATTCACATCCTATCCAACCATCGTAGCCCAAGTCCTCAAGCAACTTGAACATATATGAATAGTCAATTTCACCGGGTGTATCGGGTTCTCCACGATGCGGAGCTTGAGCAATTTGGATGTGTCCTAAAACATAATTCAAAAAATTTGGATGCGTCGCAAGATCATTGTCGAAAATCATCATACCGATCATTGGCAGAAGATCTGTGATGGTTCGAGTAATGTTCCCTGATATCAGTTGCAAGTGAAAAACGTCCAATTGCAGCTTCAAGGCGGACGAATCAATACCTCTCAGAATTTTAACGGCTGTAAAACATCGGACGATTTCAGTGATGCAAGAAAATTTGCAGTACGTCAATTAGTAATCCTGACAGTACCATGGTCATAACTCGACAGATGGTACTTCGGAATGGTCCAGGGATTAATGGGTTCGATCAACCCTGTAATGCCAGCATTCTCCAATACAGGCACAGCAAGACGGAGGTTCTTCATGTATGTCTCGTCGCATGTGGATGACTCGTTCGTCGACTTGCCAGCCATGATGTGAATTCTCATTTGAGAATCATAAAAATATGGAACATTCCTCTTTCAATAGGAGCTAAGTCATTCCAACTCACCGAGAACACTTGAGTATTTTCGCATACTTCACTGATAAATCGAGAGACTGAAGGAATTCTTTCTCGCGCCCAGGTAATGCTGCTAGACCTAGCTCGCCAACATCTAAGTTTCCTATTTTACTGAACAAATTTATACTTCGATTTTAACCAGATGTACAATTCAAGCTACCTGGAGGAGAATTGATCAACACTTGCTCAACACCAGCGGTTTCCAGAGCCCTTCCAACATCTTCGGCTGAGAAATCGTAAGGAAATGCACACTCGACGGCTGAGAAACCCGCGCACTTCGCGGCACCATATCGTTCCAAAAGAGTTCCCACCTCCGTGAACATCATCGATATATTTGCAGCCAACTTCAGTTTTAAGGGAGCCATTCTATCTTCGACGCAACCGATTCTGTGGCTTGATCAGAGTAAGAAGGCATCGCATGATTACATTCTGCCGTACTGTACTATGGTAACTGTAACAAGTTGAAATGCCGTTTCGTAGGAATCCCACAGGACACATCCATCACATCAAAATCTTTCGAAATATTGTATATCAACTTCAACGATAGCTTCCGCGTACGCACGCATCCTTTCAGAAAAATGTGCCCATCTTTCCGAGCATTGTGCGCAACTACAGTACTGTACTACGTATCTAGTTTGTTTACTCCGGCAGGAACAGCTGCTTCCTCCTGACATCTGTCGCGCAAACGCGAAATTAGCCGTAACAAATCAACTTCCCTGGTTTTAAGTTCGGAGTGCAGTTCTAGACACCAACCGAACCTTACGTTAAATTGCGCGTGGATGACTTGCACGGTCATTTTACTAGCATTTTTCCTTAAGGAAAATTTCACGTAAATTGCACAAAGAAATGAGAAAATTTTCAGTGCAGTCAAATCAATGATCACAGGTGTGGCAGGCAGGGCGTACTCTGGTGGTGTAGTTTCTAATCATATGGAGGGAGATGCTAAATTGGGCGGGTTGGGTGGACTGACTTGCCTTTATATATTTTCCATCATTGTGAAGCTTTGTCCAGTTCTTACTTGAAAGGAATTCTCATTTGAAGTGTTTTCCATCAAATGAGGGGGTTTTCTATTCTCATTTGCAGTTGGCTTTAGGGTTAATTTTGTTTCTTGAGTTTTACACCATGATGTGTTCTGGTGATTTTTCAAAGTCTCAGGAAAAGCTGTGTAGGTGGACTGGCTTCCTGCTGTTTTCTCTCATTGTGAAACTTTGTTCTGTTGAGAATTGTTATAAGTGATTTTTCCTGGTGGACTGACTCCCTGGTTATTTATTCTTTCATTGTAACACTTATGATTTTTTTCAAGTGTTTCTCATGTTATCTAGATTTGTGGTGACGTGACTTGAGAAATGTGAAGGCAATGTCCATGGATATTTTCTTGAAATCTTGATACAAGGCGTCCTTAAATTTCGCAAACTAATTGAACACGCTGAAGAAGAAATACATGTACTAGAAGCAGTGCTTCGACTAGGAATTACGAGAATGTTCGAGAACCTTCTATGAAGCTCTGGGTGGCACTGTGAAGGTCAGAAATTCTTAGTTACTTTGTGATGATATGTGCGGTAGAAAGTGAATTTTTGTTGTAGCAAAACAACTGTGTGAAGGTCTTCTCCACGATAAATCATTATCTCTCCTGGTGTTCTGCAGGATTTTAAGATGCACTACTCAGACATGGACTCCAAAGGAAGTGATGTTGGTGTTTTGGAAAGTTTTGATTGCTCAGACAATAAAGCATAGTAAGATTTCTCCTCAGTAACTACAAGCCCACACTAGACGAAGGTAGACTCGGAATGACTAGACACCAGCAATATCGGGATACTGACAGTCTATTCACATAAGTACACTTTCGCACACATAAATCAGAGATCTGCACTTGTCAGAGGTTCACGGTAGAATGAGGCTTGGCGTGCCTCTCACTATACAAGATGGCCGGTCGCTGGCGCGCAGGCCGTTGCGCCGGCGTACCCTGATTGGGTATGAGGTCAGAACGAAGCTCGTATCGAATACGCGTTATTCTTGTTGCGCGGGACTAATGGCCGCTGGCCGTTACTGCATGCAATCAACTGTTGGTAGATAATCCGCTGAATTTGCAGTGCAATGAGATTGACACAGTATGTAATTGCCCTATGTCATCGCTGGATTCTGTCATTGATGATTCCCATTATTTTTGCAGATCAAAGGTAATCCCTTTGCATATGATGAGTACATCAAATTAATTGGCATCCAAAGAAAATGTGGAGACAAAGTGAAGTGCCAAAGTGCGAGGGATCGGATGTTGGAGCATTTTCCATTGACGGAAGGCAAGAAACATTTTAAATGTTGAAACGCATTTGTTTGTCCATGCTGACAGAAGATTAATTGTTCCTTTTTGTATGCTTCGTAGAAATGTGGCTTTCCTGGCTTCACGTTGAAATTGAATCTTGCAAGTTGGAACATGGGTTACTCGAGCATCAAATAATTGACATATTTCAGCATGCATTGAATGATTAAAATATACGTGAGTTCGACGGGTTATTTTTATAATTAAATCATTTATTTGATTAATTATAAGATTTGGAAGCAATTTTTTTGACCGTCAATTTCAAGGTGTCAGTCTTCACCTCTGATCAATTTTAAATTTCAGATGTGCGAAACTTGCACATATGGAAATTGCCTATGCAGTTAGATAATCTCAATTTTACAGTGAATCTATGTTGATTCTGAATTCCGGAGTGCAGTATACAAAATTTTTCCACCTTTTTCTTCAGCTGTGGCAATTTGGATCAAGTATGCAAAGTTTCTGGAGCGCAATGCTGATTTTTTGTGGGTTTGGTAAATCATTGAAAAAGCTATCTGTGATTGTGGAGAACATTCATCCAAGGGGCACAAAATATGGCTGACTGCCATCAAATACATGGGAAAACGTAGTGGATCAGAATTATGTGGTAGATCAATTTTTGAAGATGACGTGAAGGATATTGTCGCAAGAATTTTGGAAATCCCTCTTCTGATCCCTGAAAAAATTTGGGTAAAGTTGGAGACTGTAGCTTCCTCCAAGAGCTTTGAAATCTGTAAGCACAAGGAACACTTGGAGAAAGAACGTGCCAAGTATATCAACCAGTGTGAAGCGGAGCTCAGTGTAAGGTGTAATATAGTTTTACTTTTGTGAATTCTTTGTGATACACTTCCAATTTCAGACTGCCAACAACAAGCTGAATGTGTATAGAAATTACTTTAAATTGGAGTTGGACTTCAAAGCACCAAACTCATAAATTATAACGCTTTATAAACAAGCAGTCCGTGATTGTTGTCTCAATGGAGCTTTATGGATTGAATCCGTAATATGGATAAAGCAATCAGGTCAACAGCATCAGAACATTACCATTGTCGATAAGAGTGTTGCGCAATGTTCCGTGGTCTGGTGCAGTTAGGGTATCAAAGTTGTGTCTTCTGATGGAGGATGAAGGAACGAGTGAGGAAAGAAGAGGTTAGTTTGAATGCAGTTGAAAATGCAAGTTCGTTGGGTCAAAATGCAGATCATCTGCATATTTATCCATTCTTAGTACTGTAAAGTAAAGTAGCTGTTGTAGTTACTCCTGGAACCATTCATCCTGCTTCTGGAAACATTCTTGATCATCACGCTCCAATGCTGTTCCAAATCAAGTGCTTATTTTGTTGGGATTGCTGTCCATGTTCTGTTAAAATTATAACAGTTATTATTATTAATAATGGAATGTACAAATCAGGTTTTCATGTTATGAATGCCCAAGTCAGGTGTTTTGAATTTCAAAAAGTACAAGATATTTGGCATTGATGTTTTTAAAAACTCCCAAGTTTGGTATTCTGCAATCAACAACCCTCTGCACAACTTTGAAATGCTGGGAAAAATGAACTCTCCCAACTAGCTTGGATTATTAAAAAAAACACATCAGGCACAAAATGAACACAATAGTCAGGCTTTCATGTTTTCATGAATGCACAAGTCAAGTTTTCATGAACGCACAAGTCAGGGCTTTCATGTTTTCATGAATGCACAAGTCAGGCTTTCATGTTTTAACTACTGTACCAGACTTGGGCGTTCATGAGAACATGAAAGCCTGACTTGTTTGTTCATGAAAACATGAAATCCTGACTATTGTGTTCATTTTGTGCCTGATGTGTTTTTTTTTAAATAAGCCAAGCTGGTTGTGAGAGTTCATTTTTCCTAGCATTTCAAGTTGTGCAGAGGGTTGTTGATTTCAGAATACCAAACTTGGGAGTTTTTAAAAACATCAATGCCAAATGTATTGTACTTTTTGAAATTCAAAACACCAGACTTGGGCATTCATGAGAACATGAAAGCCTGACTTGTGCGTTGATGAAAACATGAAAGCCTGACTTTTGTGTTCATGAAAACATGAAAGCCTGACTTTTGTGTTCATGAAAACATGAAAGCCTGACTATTGTATTCATTTTGTGCCTGATGTGTTTTTTTTTAATAAGCCAAGCTGGTTGGGAGAGTTCATTTTTCCTATAGCATTTCCAAGTTGTGCAGAGGGTTGTTGATTGCAGAATACCAAACTTGGGAGTTTTTAAAAACATCAATGCCAAATGTCTTGTACTTTTTGAAATTCAGAAAAATTATTTCCCCCAACATGCATGGCTTATGTAAAAAAAAGCACATTAGGCACAGATAATGTGTTTTCTATTTTTTGATGTAAGATCAATTGGTTACATAATGCATCCTGAAATTTACCAAATTATGAGAAGTTCACAAACTTTTGAAGCACATATCATTTTTGTCTTCTTCATCACCACAACAAATGTTCATGCTTGTCAATCAATTAATATATCACCAGAATGCATCATTTTGTTAAAAAAAATCAAATTTGAAAGAAAACTGCAAATAAGAAGTAAAAAATTCACTTGATGGAAAACACTTCTAAAAAGAATAAACTGAACAAGGTTTCACAATGAGAGACAAAATATCAAGGGAAGTCAGTCCACCCAGCACCCTGCCTGATGGAGTGTCTGTGAGGTGTCTCCCAAGAGTTTTACAATGATAGAAGAAATAAGCAAGTCAGTCCACCAACACAACTTTTCCTGAAACTGGGAAAAATCACCAGAAAACATGATGGTGTAAAACAAATTTCACCCTGAAAGCCAACTGCAAATGTGAATAGAAAATACTTCATTTGATGGAAAGCACTTTTAATAATAATAAACAGAACAAAGGTTTGACAATGAGAGACAAAATATCAAGGGAAGTCAGTCCACCCACCCTGCTTGATGGAGGGTCGGAGGGGTTCATCCCGCGGTAAGATTTGTTCATGCAGAACAGACTCTAGAGTCCATCCTGCCTTAATTCAGGGTGTACTTTAGAGTCCATCCTGCCTCAATTGAGGGTGTACTTTAGAGTCCATCCTGCCTAGGCAGGGTGG